ATAATCAGCAAGAATTTCTATCTAAATTTCAATTTTTCGTTCAGAGGAATATCAATTTGCATGAATATCTAAAAATGTCCCCTTAGAACTCAATAATTCGTCATACACTGGGAAGACTAAAACTTTGACAACTATCGCGAGTTACTTCGTACATTCGTCATTCCGACATGGCCCTTTCTTTCAGAAACGTTCTCGAATTATTTGTACGTACACGCGATGATTGGATTTTTGTGTGCTTAGGCAGCCAAGATAACTGCATGCTGATAGGTAAGATGTCAAAAAATAAGTAGTGAATGAGATATAAATGTAATTCCAAGGAAAATATTATTCGTTCGAAAGTTCGGGATTTCTTCCCCCCCCCTTTTTCCCCGTCCTTCTTCCATCAGCGATATCATACACGCTTTGGAAAGATTTGTGGGACATTTATAAAGACAAATGACACACAGTGTTCACCACTGTGTTTTCGGAAATGCATTACGTTTCGTTTGACATGCAAACGACGTGAAACTGACTAAAACGTAGATGGTATCTTATCACTGATTTACAGAACGCGAGATAGTCGCTTATTAGAGCAACAGCTCATTTTCCATCGACCAATTGTCGTACGACGTACGATCATCGACGACAGAGATCATCTTCCTTTTGAAAACGGACGAGCAGGCTCTAGGTCGACCAGTTCCTGGCCGATTTCTTTCGCCAGAATAACGTAGATACGTAAACTCGAGTTATTTGTGTTCTCTCGGATGTACTTCTGCATCGTCTACGCTGGAAATTCGTTGGCTAATTTGTGAATACTTTATGGTACGTGAATACTTTATTCTTTGTGAAGCTTTTGTTTTTTTTTTTGGTTAAACACTTTGTGTCCATCGAGGAGGACAGAATGTCTTTCGTTGGCCTAAATCTTCGGTCAATGGGATAGTTTTATCACGATCATTACGTTGTGTGTTCACTCGAATACTTGTGCATCGTGGCTAATTTGCGTGAATATTTTGTTCCTTATTTTTGACTTGTTCAAGTTTTTATTTTTCCATTAAACGTGCGTGAAGGGAAAGGAAAAGTTTCGTGGCTCTGAGACAAATAGCATGTTTGGACGGCTCAAAAGTTAATCAATGTAAGTCATTTTTTATCATTAGAATATCATTTTATTATCAAAATCTTCACTTCATGGGAAAGTTATAATATAATCACTACGAAAAAAAAAAAAAA